TACACTAGGCACAAGTGTTCACTAAAGAGAGGAACTTATGGACTGAATAACGGGCCGTCTTGCCGAAGATGGAAATAAAGCGAAATGTGACGGGAGCGCCATCTAATTCTCGCCAATGCCCTCCAGTACCATAGGTAATTAACCACTCGCGCAGTAGCTCGCGCTCAGCCAACCTGGACAACTATAACGCAAAAGAGAGCAGAATCATTCATGAGCATGAGTGCGGTCAGCGAAAAGGGCATGCGATTCCGATTATTGCTCGCCGCACCAACAAAGAACAACTGAGCGGCCCTCCCTCGCGAGGGCGGCGCAGTCTAGCAATCTAAGGCGGTCAAACTGAGCAGAACGCTTGCAAACGAGCACTTTCAGCGGGTTGCAGCTTACTCATCGCTCGGCTCGCGGCAGTTCCCGCACGACGTGGGCGTTAGATCTCAGCTCTGGAGCTGTACTTACCTTAGCACAAGGAAGACGACCACCGACGACTCGAGCGCGGGGTGGCTTTAACACACGCCGTCGCACACGCGCCAGCAACGCGCTGCGTTTGGAAGATTCGCCAGTTGGAGTTATGAAATCGCTAGCTTCTTGCTTGCTCTGCATCGCTTGTCTCAGAGTGCCACTGGTCACTGTTTCTCTAAAATAACATTCCAGGAGCATTCGCTGACTCGTATGAACTAGCGAATGACATCGCGCCGAACGCAGCTTTCGAGTGGCAGATGTTCCACGCAGTGGAGAACAAAACAGGTATTCTCTCACTCTTCTCGAGCTGCCTGATTTTTTCATTACGTTCGGCAGCTTTTCCCGGGCACCTGCAGACGATCCGCGCAGCGAGCTGTTGCAGGTTCATTGCGCTTTCACTTCTGGAGCTTGTTCAATCTAGTTATTTGCTTACTTCATTGTACCATCCGGGGTGGCATACCGACGCGACAAAGGCCCAGATAACTAGGCGTGTAGTGCAAACATGTAAAATACCAAAAATTTTCAGTGTAAAAGCGATAGGTTAAAAGAGTAAAAAACAAAGTCATCGGGAACAAATGTGCACTTTCAGAAGATCAACAGCGTTGTGCTCGTTCATGGGATGGCTGCCAGCGCAGGCAGCCTCGAACCCCAGCGGCAATACCTTCTGCAGGCAGGTTTACCTTCCATTATGTGAATTTGAACCACAAGCATGCTCCTCAAGAAGTGGCACACTGACCCTTTCAAGTGCCCCAGCTCCCGATAACGACAGTCCCATAATTTTATCGAAAGAATCTTTACCAGTTGGGCAAGCTTTGCTCCCGGTTCGAATGTCCAAATGAAGCGAAAACGCCATACACCAGCGGTGGCGCCATGTAGCACACGTAGGCCTGTTCACTGCTGTCATTTTCTGACTCACAGCCGTCCAAAAATACACTCTGGGACAACTTGTCAACCATATGTCACCCTAGTAAAGGGTTCTGAAACAGGCACCTTGTGGCTATCGATTGCGTTCGGCGAGTTCGACTGCGCAATAATCCACTGCCCTGGAGGTGAGCACCATTAGCCTGAGAGCAACGGGTCAAACATACTGCTATGCCACCACCAGCGGCATATCCCGAGGCCGCCTGCGAGCGCCATGACCGCCACGCTTCAACTTGCCAGCCGCTGACTGACTGGAACCTCCACTGGACTACTCAAGTAACCAAGACTGAATTGATTTCGACCATCACTTGTAATATCGCATTGATGGAGTTCCCAGTAAATTTCGTAACTATATCACTGAATATTGCGGCTTGACGGTTACAACGTGTCACGACATCGCAAGAGGAAACCGTGTAGAAGTTTTACTTAAATGTTTCATGATTTATATAAGTGTTTCATATAAACATCGAATGACCTCAATGAGGCAAACTTGGGATTGCTCACCAGGGATGACCGTTTCACGGATTGCACAGTCCTCGTCTATAGCCTCTTATCTGGTACACGTTGCTAGCATAGCTCCACCACCTATTGCGCAAGGTCAGTCTGACATGAATAAATGTGATGGTAAGCTCGACTGAGACACCTACGTCATAACCCAACCCTCTCAAGTGTTCTTACGTCACGCAGCATTGCTTTAGGTGCACTACGCGAGTAGGACCTGTGAGCGATCTAGTCATGACTTTTCTATAAACTCACTCCTCACAGGTCCTACTCGACCCAGTTCCCTACATGCTTCTGCTGCTCTATCGCCGGCCCAATCACTCTACACGGATAGCTTCTACATTGCTCCTCCGCCGATGCATCATCTTCACACCAGTACCGTCCCAACCCTATCACCTGCATATTTTCCTACATCTACGTAACCTCAGCCTGCCAGCGATGTCTACTACGGGACCGTGCATGCAATCACAACATCCATTCCTCCTCGTGAAATCACAGATTCCTGCACAGCGCCTCCACCTTTGTCGCCCATTCTTCCGAAAAATCACAGATCCCTCCACAGCGCCTCCACCTTTGTCGCCCATTCTTCTTCACGAAATCACAGATTCGAAGAATGTTATCGGAAGCGTGATCACTGAGACTTTTGTAGAAGGATGGCTAGATACGTAACTAGTAAAACGATATATTTTTCGAATGTTTAGAAGTGCATTTTATTTGTTTCGTTGTAAATCTATTGCCATTAAAAAAAATTTCCTTCCTAACACTCAACCTTTTGAAAATCAAATCGATTCATCTCGCTACGTGAGTAGCCCGTGAGAGGACACAGTCAAGCAGCCGGGAGTGAGTGTATAGTTGAGATTACCGTTTTGATTTACTTTTCCACCTCCGCATACTTGATAGTTGGGATAGCCCGCATATAATTGCCTACGCTGACTGCTGACCTCTCATCAAAGTTACTGACTATGAGTTAAGTGAATAAATATAAGTGAAATTATATAGTTATGTAATTATATTAGTTATATAGTATGGAATTTTTGTAAACGGGAAAGTGAGACGGGAACATTGATGATGGTGGCCAAGTGAAAGTAACAGCTGACATGGGCCATAAAAAAGGCAGTGGTCACAAGTTCATAACTTGCGCTGCAGCCGGTGGAGCGTTGATTCCAAGAAGTGACATAGGGGGCTGGATATGAACTTCATTGGTGGGTGGCAGGAAGTGATATTAGCTAACAAGAGATGATAAGGGGCGTTAGGTGAGGGTCATCAAGTTCATAACGTAGTTTCGGATTTGAGCGGAGTTTATGTTCTAAGACAGACGTAGCTGATGCGTCATGAATCATCACTTATGGGCTGCAGAACGCATCAGGCATTATTATGATCCTGAATAAAGGGATCGTGCAAAACGGCAGAAGCCCGTCGCCCGTCACAGTATCAGTAGGAAGTTGGTTCAATAATGATATATTGGATGTGACGGGGTTATTACTGATGGGTCAAAGAGAGGGATAACAACTGATACGAGGAAGATAAGAAGTGTTGCACTCTTTCACACCACCACTAAAAAATTTTGTGATAATGGATCACGGGGGACAAGGGATTATATCAACTGATAGGAGTAAATAAGAGGTGAGAGCTTATTTTCCCCTAATTCTTTTACCACTATACTTCTAGGTTCACTGTATTTCACGCTAAGTATACAGTACCTATTGTTTTACTGCACGTCCAACTGGAGGGGGAAGGGTTGTTCACGTGAGGTCTACAGCACAATCAAGAAAAGGATGGGCATGATTAATTAAGAGAAAAGAGAAAAAAAAAATATTAGGTTGTCCGGAAAGTTCTCAGCGTTTTGTGTTACTATTTTTTGTACATTCATTGCTGATTAAAAACTCATTCTCCCTTGCGTCTCAGTAGTACATCCTGAAGAGAATTTTTGCGCTATCTGATGGTATTGCCGTTTCACCATTGCTTGATAAACCCCCTTTTCCCAAGACTTTTTGAAGCATGTCAAAAGAGCAACTTCGGACGATATTTTTCTTCAACTAAAAATTGGGTCAATCCGCAGTCGAGACAGCTCGACAAATTAACCAGGTGGGGGCCCAATAGTGTTGGAGAAAGCACCGTGCGGCAATGGTTCGACAAATTTCGTTCTGGAGATTTCAGCCTTGAAGATGAACCTCGTAGCGGTCGACCTAAAGCAATACCTGACGAAGATTTGAAGGCATTTGTGGAGGGTGACCCATCCCAAACAGTTCGAGAGATTGCAGAAAAGCTAGGCGTTGGCAAATCCACTGTTGCGGATGGTCTGAAAAGCATTGGGAAGGTGAAAAAAACTCGACAAGGATTTTCCTACTTTTCCCCCATTTTTGCTGTCGAGCGGCGCGGGGGAAGGGGTATACACTATATATGAAATAGAGAAAACCACGAAAAGTCATGAACCTCCCTCACAAGGCTAGAAGGCAAATACCACCCCTCTCCCTACAACGAGCAAATACGACCCCCCCCCTTTTAGAGCGTCCCTGAAACAAGGGAGATCAACTATCAAAAAAATTTTTTTCTTTGAATAAATACGTCCCTATCTTCCACAACGACCAAATACGTCCCCCTTGCTGGGGAGCCTCCAACGATGATGTCCCCTGTCTACAGCAGCAGTGGTCCAAGAGTTAGCGGTACAGCGCAGGATCGCAATGGCACGCATCCCGGATCGTGAGAAGAGGAAGGGTCGTATTTCCAGACCAAATACGTCCCTATCTTCCCCAGCGACCAAATACGACCCTCTCTCCCCCAACAACCAAATACGACCCCCTCCCGGGGAACCTCCAACGATGATGTGCCCTGTCTACAGCAGCAGCGACCAAACAATTAGCGGTACAGCGCGGTCGATCGCAATGGCACGCTTGCCTAATGGTGCGATTGAATCGCTGCACTAGTGAAATATGAACGCAGCTTTAGGTTACATTCTAATTGGTGTTTCCGTAACCAAATGGTAAGTTGCAGTTTGCCTGTCCCGGCAAACAATCTTGTATCCATATCGATCCATGTCATAATGGGAAGCATTTTAAATTCCTCGATTTCAGGGCTCTCTCTGTGGCGGGGTGGTTTCTATTGATTGCTGTCTTCGAAGAGGAATGCTGAACAGTCGATTTGAAACGACCTACGTCGCACCATCGCACGTCATCATACGTGACGTGAACACCGGTACCAAAACAAATTTGGTGTCACAGAAGGGCTATGCAATCGAAAACCTCAAGGTGAGCTTTTTTTCGCGTCGCCACTATTTTTCCGAATTTGTTTTGACGCGTGCTACACAGCCGTGTTCGCTGCAGATGATGGGGTGTAGCAGTGAGGCTGGGTTTGACGCGCCCTCACCCCTTCTCCAACAGTTGTCAAAGTGGCTGATGGACAGCAATTTGTGAAAAACGACTCATACGAACGATATGATACAGTCTTGTTGCTTAGCGAAACAAAAAAAAATAAAGAAAAAAGAAAGAAATGGCTGGCGCCGTTAGCGCCAAACCTAAAATCCCACCTGACACAATGCGCCTCCACCGCGGCCTGACGCCAGTCTTTTGATGTGACACCCGGTAAGAGAGATAGTAGGTATGGCATGTGAATAGGCGAGAGGGTCTTACCGGGAGGTGAAATCTCCGAGGGGAACAGTAACCCGACATAGCCGCCAGTTCGTCCTTCAATCTCATCCCGAGGTTTAGTCCTCCTTATCCTCCGTCTCATCCCCCAAAAGCGCAGTTGGCACGATAAAAGTTCCCCAAAAAGATGAGTAGCGATTACATGCGCCCTGCAGGACGAACTCCGCGAGCCCTGAGCAGGCCTGGCATAGTCGCCTTTTCCAAGAAAGGTGCGCTTATACAAGACCGCCTATCAAGCCCACAACATACGCAGCGCAGACACGCCTACCACGCCCGCCCGCCCACAAATGAACGACCGTTCCTGACGCTCCTATTGATTCATTTGCTAAGTAAATTATAAGGTGAAGGGATTGGTATGAAGCGGCCGTGATGCTGCATGGATAAATGAATACACATACGCAGCCGTATCTTCGGTAGCGGTTATTGGCAAGATGCCTACTCGTCCAAAAATGATTTTCAAGTCATTCAGCACACGGAGGCTTTTTTTCGCAGGATTTTAACCGTCTCACTCCTTTTTTTCGCCATTTCCCCACACTGTAGCGCCCTACTAGCTTTTTAGGCCGAGTACCAAATCATCGTGTCAACTGCCTTTAATAGCAGTTGGCACGATAAATCCCTAAGAGGAGTATGAATAAGACGCCTGGCAGGACGGAATTCCACGCCCGTGAACAGACGGTGTGACCCTTACAAGCCCTATCATGCTGCAACACATCGACCCGGACTCCCACCGCGCCCACCCGCCACAAATGGACGACCGTACCTGATGCTCGTATTGCTTCATTTGCGAAGTAAAATATGAAGCGAAGGGATGATATGAAGCGGTCGCGGTGCTGCATGGATATATAAGTACGTGCGTGTAGTCGTACCTACCGTAGTTAGTATTGGCGAGATGCCTACGGGGAACCCGCCCGAAATTCATTGAGAGCGAAGGCTTTTCTTCGCAGGTTTTTGACCGTTTCACTTCGTTTTTTCGCCATTTCCCCACTATATAGCACCCTACTAGCATTTTAGACCGAGTACCAAATTATCGTGCCTATATGCCATTAAAAGAAGTTCAAATCCGAAGAGATTCAGCCTTTTGCACAAGTTTTTCTGCGGGACTACTGATCTCCTCATCTCCAAATTCATACATTTTCCGAAGAACATCTTATTCACTGCCTCCGCTACGCCTCATCTTTCCGCCTTCCGATTTCCGGAAAGATCACGGCGGATATAACCTAACCTAATGAGATAGGAGGAGTTCTTCATGAAATAGGTAGCCTGAATTCAGATGATGGGAAAAGATCGCTATGTGATCGCGTATACAACATCGTCGCTGATCTTGGCCGACAATGAAACAGGGCTCGCATCAGAAATCGACTGGCAATCGGGTGGCAATGAAAAGTAAGTCGTTTAGTAGATCGACTAGCTGCTTTGACCACCGATCAATAAATGATGGTCTTCAGATTTTATTTTGAATTCCAACATGTATGCGTAATTGTAAATGTCGGTGAGATAACGGTCGTCGAATATGGTATTGATGGGCCACTCGGTTGGGTAAGAACTGAACTGACCAGCCGCCATCTAATCAGGTAACCCATCTCAGTTAAACTTCTTATGCTCACCCATTTATGCATTATTCCTGCAAATTTAGTGTGAGTGTCACCAAAGGAGGTCCGAGTTCAACACCGATGAAGAAAATCGCTTACCTCACAGATCCTACCTCATTAACCATCAGTACGTCCGATTTCCTTTATGATTTTTAATTTAAAAAGGTCAGAATGACGTCACGCATAGCTTCGGAAAGTATATTTGTAGGCAACTATAACGTCATACAGATGTTTTCTGAGGAGTGGAAAAAGGCCGTCCAACAACAGTTTCATAGTAGCTTAACAGTACACTTCCACAGCGCTCGAGCGTGCTATCGCAGCGTCTGGCTTTAATGACATGATTGGCAACCTGGGCACATTATTGGTTGGGCATTATGGTCGAGTTCGTACACCCCCCCCCCCAACCTCTAGTTCCATCCTCATCGAGCTTACATTGGTCGATGCAAGGAGGCAGGAGGGGGGGAAGTATGTAGTACATATGAAAGAGGAAAAACCACGCGAAGGCAACACCCCCTCTCAGAAAGCCAGAGAGCAAATACGACATCCTCCCCGCTCAACAATAAACAAGTACGACACCCCCCCCCCTTTGCTTTGAAGCGTCCGTGGAAGAAGAAAAATCAACTATCAAAAAAATCTTTTCTCAGAGCAAATACGCGCATCCTCCCCCAGCGACCAAGACCCCCTTTTATGGAATCCCCAACGATGATGTTACCTTGGGCGTCAGGTACGCCGTCGTTGTGATCAATCACAAGGTGGGGGTCGTAATTTGACCGCCGAGGGAGGCGGGCGAGGCGTCTTGATCAGAAAAAAATTCTTTTGATACTTGAGTTCTCTTGTTGCACGGACCTGTAAAGGGGGAGGTTCACATACTTCGGTCATTGGGGGGGGGTCGTATTTGGTCAGTTCACGGACGCACTACTATTTCCGACACTTGAAAATGATAGTTTAATTCTGACGACCCCCCCCGCTCGACGGCTCGGTTCGATGAGGAAGGACAGAGGGCTGGGAGGGGGGGGGGTCGTACCAACTCCCAAAAAGGGGGTCGTATTTAGGATGGAATTAGGGGGGTCGTAATTTCGCGAACAATGACACAATGCGACGGCGGGCCCTGCCCTGGCGTGCGCTCCTTTGCAAGCACCCGGTATTTGCAGTTTGCCTTGCACGCGGCGTTGCGTATCCTAAAGAGCGTCTCCCGTTCATTGGGGATGATGGAGCTGCAAAGGGGGTAGGGTTTGGCTCAACGCCAACCCGTTTTTTTGACAAGTAACAATACTGAACCGTACCGATTATATTCATCAGTTTTCCACAATCCGTTTCACCACCTTACTCGCCTTCAACGACCAGTACGTGACGCATAGTAGCGCCCAAACACAGCCTACTGACCACGCCCCAATCAACCGCAGCGATCAAACCTGTAACCGACCATCGCGCGATTCTCATGCGCGTCATGTTGCCACAACATGGTCAGGCCCTTTATAAGACAGAACAAAGCTCTATGATTAAGTGCCCGTCATTTTCAGAGAACCTAAGTGAAGCGACACACATAGAAGTAAGCATCATGCTCACACGACTCATTATCGATTGGCTCGAGGTAATCTTTTACCTGCTTTACCTCGATCGAAAATGTTGGATAAAGCTAAGCCCATCAATAAATCGTAGCAAACTAAAAATCATCTATTAACGAAACTGCTCTTCCTAGAAACACCTCTCAATGCACTTGTATATTTCCTTTTCTTGTTCTCTTACAATTTTTTTGGGTTCTCTTACGGAATTTTTTTTACATTATCTATATCCCTCGTGACACTTGAATATGAGTGCGGTCGCGGCGCGACGTATTAGCGAAAAGGCGAAAAGAAGAGGCAGAAGGGTGAGAGTGCCTGCAAAAATGGGTTGAGTGCCTCTAGCAACCATATCTCGGCGATAGAGGGGAGGGGCGAACATAGCTGTAGGCGTGACACTCGTAGACAGTCACCGGTTTATGCAGAGACGTCAACTGCACAAGGGAGAATGCAGACTGCATAATGAACTACCGGAACTTTTCTCAGCTTCCTTTTCGTAGAGAAAGCTGCCTACCACCGCACGCGATCACCACCTCGTTCGTGCAAGCTACACCCCCTCCAACCTCAAGATATGGACTGTATGCAGTTGATGACGGCTCAATCAGACGGGGCGGTTTCAAGAGGGATGGAATGAGCTCACCAGCGGCATCTTCACCACTGTCTGTTCTTTACCTGAATCGATCACTTACCGGTCACTATTGGCAAAGCAAGGCAGGTGGAGGCGGATGATATCAGATATTTTTTTCTCGTAATAACGTCTCTATGCTTTATCTTATGCTAGTAAATACTAACTATATTCGAATATAATCGCTTTCATTGATCGAACTCTATATTAGCAATGAGTGCTCGCTTACTGTTAACTCTTTTAGCTGAGTGAGACCGCTACGAAGCTACTATTCCGTGATAAACGGTCCAGGCTCTTTCTGCTCGATGGCACTCGTCAGTCATCCTTGCTCAATTTCTGTACTTATGTCCAATGGGTACCCGGCAGTGACGTTATTGTGGCACAATCTGGTAATTCCCTTCATGTATGGTGGGTGAATTACGGTATTTCTGCAATAAGAGTCTTAGTGCTCTAGAAGAGATAGATATCTACAGGTATAATCCAGCGTTACCTGACCAAGTAACAACGACAGCCATCAAAGGCGAAATAGAAGGTGTTCTTCGTGATGCGGAACGAACA